CAGATGTTTGCTAGGTGTAGTCAGTTAACTCAATATACGTACCGTATTCTCAACCCCTCCGTCTTTGTCATCGTCATCATCATGGTAATTTTCTCAACCTTCATCTTTCTAAATCTCATCATGTCCGGCTAATCTTCTAGTTGTTCCGGATTTGATGAACCCTAATATGTTTTACTTTAATTGAGTGGTATCTTTGATATAGACGTGTTGTTCTCGTTCTTACGATCTTTTCTCGACTTATCATGTGCAAGTATCAATAGTACGCGTCTATTGTATATTTTGTATGATACATGTAAATGAGACTGCGAGGTAATTTTGCATGTTAGATCCCTCGTGAAAAGAAGGAATTGATCGGAGCCACCGGCGATGGGGTCACGTATTTCCTCTGGATTAGCTTAAAAACCTAATACGAAAGTTCATAAATCTGGTTATTGCTTTGGTTTAAGATTTTTGTAAGCCACGGTTTCACTTGATTCTTAAGTCAAAAGGGTGTTAATACATGTGCGAACGGGTTAACACTAAATTGGGAATTTTCACGGTCTAAGATATTAACACTCGTCTATGTTAAATTCAACTTGTTTGTAAAATGCATATTAGGGGGATTCACTTCCGGGACAACGCCTTCTCCACTTGATTTTACTTTGAAAACTACTTTATTGTGTTTTTATTATTGCGTGTGTCTTTATTTCTAAACGAAAATCAACTAAAAACGATTGACTAGATAATAGGTAAAAGCTGAGTACTAGTACACGAAGTCTCTGTGGGTACGACCTTGCTTCCTGCTATACTACATTAGAACGATAGGTACCCTTGCCTATTTTTCCTGTGATAGTTACGGGCGATCATAAGACCTCCGGACAAACTAGTGATGACAACCATCCTGTGAACTCTAGCATTTAGAGGTTGTTGTCGTGGTGGTGAGACGATAGGGTCGAGTGTTGATAATTGTGCACATCTTTTGCACCAAAAGGTCCTGACCCCACTGGTCGAGAGTGAGTGATTCATCCTCATTTTGTATGTTCATATCTTACCCGGTGAGGACCTATGTTGCCCATTCGTTTGTTCCTTTTACTTTAGTTCTTTGCATGGTTAGTTGTGGTTAGTGAGTAGTCCGATGGAAACTTGTTTTGATTTGTGAACAGGATGAGAACTTTTCGTTTGCACGTTCTTAATGCATTCGAATGTCGTTTGTGGTGGATACCGGTATTGCGTGTGACGATTCATGTATTGAGGTTCAATAGCCATTGAGATTCACCCACTTTGAGCCCTTTGATATGTCCTCAAGTTATTTTGGTAGGTTGAGATATTACCTTGTTTGGAATTGGTTTGCTTGGGGACAAGCAAACATCAAAGTGTGTGGGAGTGATTCGGGTCAAAATACACACATTTACCTCCTTTTTATTAGATGTTTGAGGCGATTTCACCCAGTAGGGTTTGGTTTTACGCTAGGTTGTGCTTTGTTTTGCTATGTTTCAGATCCTAGCAGGTAAATCAACCCGGGGAACAAATGTTGTATGAAAATGAGCGAAAATGAGCCAAAGGGAGAGCACATCGGCAAATAACGGTGGAACCCATGAGTTCATGGCCACCAAGAGCGTGAAGAAGATAGCACCCTGACCGTGAAGCGCAATTGTTGTAGAAGGTTTTTGCACCGTGAACACTCACCTTGGACCGTGAAGTGAATTAAGTAAAATGGTGCACCTTTGCTGAAGATCACGGTCCTCAGCCAATGTTCATAGGCGTGAACTGGAACCGTGAAATGCCTTCGATCTAGGTATATAAAGAGAGTTGAGCTAAAGAAAGAGGGGGAGAGATCCTAGTGAGATAACTTATTCTTCTTCTAGACTTTTAGAGAGAGAAAGTGGCATGAAAGGAAGAGGAAGGAGGCTAGAGTTTCATCCAAGCTCAAGATTTTGGGAATTTCCACCTTCAAGGTTGATTTCCACACAAAAGGAAGAAAGCATTCATCTCCAAGATGGTTTTCTCTTCCTCCCTTTGTGAGTTTGTGTATTCCTTCTACCTAGCATGGAGTAGTCCTTTATTTCACTTGGGTTTTTTTGAAACCTAGCTAGAAACATGTGAAAGTTTGTATGAAATGAATGATTTATGTATGGTTGTGTTTGAATGCAAGTATTGAGGTATTTTCATGGATGTTCTATTTTGTTTTCCATTTCCAACTACTTTGCCAATTTGGCCTAGGTAGAGGGAAATACCCTTCTTATGAAGAGGCTTGCAAAAGCTAGGTTTACTATGCCTAATTGAGTCACCTACCTAGGGCAAATTAGGTCACACCTCTTACTACGTTTAAGTACCTTGTGTTGGTTGCGATTTAGCCATCCAAACTTTGATTCGAGGTTGAAGCTTGACAACCCTTAGACGATTGGCTAGGAGAGTTACCTAGGTAGCTTGACTTGTGTCCCTTGGCCGATTGGCTAAGAGAGTCACCTAGGTAGCTTGGTTTGCAACCCGTTAGCCAATTGATCACGAGAATGAAAGACCGGATTGGAGCTGAAATGAACCACACCAAGATTATCAAAAAAGAGTGCCAGAGCCGCAGAAAGCGAGTAACAAAGCTCAGTTAAAATATTGCAAACTCACATAATCTTAGAAGTAGCCAGATCAAGCGCACGATACTCCGCTTGAGTGCTGGAGCGAGCAACTATAAACTGCTTCTTAGATTTCCAAGAGATTAATTTGTCGTCGAGATTAATTTGTCGCACGATGCTGGAAGTCGGAGCATGCATGTATTGTGACAACTTATTAACAACAAACACATTATTAGGACGAGTATTAAGCAAATACCGAAGAGCATCGAAAACTTGACGATACAACGTGGCATCAACAGGGGTGGAGCCATCGCCAAGCTGAAGGTGAGCGGTGGAGGACAGTGGAGTCGACGTTGGCTTTGTCTCGTGCATTTGAAAACGAGTTAAGATATCTGATACATAATTGTGCTGAGATAGGACAAAGTCAGAGGATGTAGGAATAACCTCAATGCCAAGTGACTCGCTAAAACACAACTCCTAACAAAGGCCAAGTGTAACCAATGAAAGGGAATGCAGTATAGTGGCTCAAGTAATAAATATCGAATCCACGGATCTCTAGAGTTACTATTACTCAGCTTCAATTCATTATCTAGCAAACTAAATTAAGATAGAACAACTAAAATTACTCTAGCAAACTACGGTTAAAGTTAATCTAATTACAGGTTGAGAACTCACTTAGGTATGATTTCCCCTAGCCACTAGCCAGATGAATGATTGATGATCTCTAACCTATTTCACTTTCATTCAATGTGGAGAATCCTTAACTAGACCTTGAGTCTCGACTAAAGGAACAAGGCCCTCTTGAGTCAATTGCCTAGAGGGAAGTATCCTTCTGTAGAACAATCGATCAAGGCGTTCTAAACTAGATTCCCTCTATCAAATGAGGTTCTCAATCGATACAAAGCAGTGAATCAACCATCTGTAGACACCACATTTTGTCCGGAATAATTATTTTACTGGAAATAATTTTTGTAACATCGAACTACGATTATATTTAAAAAGGAAGCTGAAGATAGTTTGGTTGAGACTAGCAGTTGCAAGTCAATATGAACCAACAACTACCAAATTTGCTCCTAGTCGATTCTAAGACATAATTAGTTAATTAGTTAAGATAGGATTGGTTTAAGTTAAGATTAGCAGTGGCAAATCTTAAATTATAAATTCTCAGTTGGATGAAAGAGTGACTATAGTGCAAATTTTGTCTCTCGAGTTTGGAATTGGATTTTGAAATGGGACAAATTGAATAGTGGAATGAGCTCTATTACCAAATATTCAAAGTTGATACATTGTACAACTTGGGTAATGACCTCCAAATCCAGCGAGAATTAAAACTAATTACAAATTGAAGTGATTGCCTTCCTACTTTGAGCCCAAACAAATTGTGTACCTGCAAAAATAAAAGAGAGGATAACAGATTAGTTTTAGCCCAAATTAAAATCTTGAATCCAGTTCAGGCCCAAGGGTAAAAGTCCAATTCCAGATCTGATGCCCAACCAGAGCCCAGAGCCAGACCCAAATTCAAACTCGGCCCAAACCCAACAGGCCCAACTCAAGCCAACCAGTTCGGTCCGAAAACCAACAATAAACCGACCTTGACCGATTCGGTCTGACCATATCTTATCCAACCGACCAGGCACACTCTTCAAAGTCAGATTAAAAAAATTGACGAATAAGAGAGCGACACGTGGCAGGTTCATTCGCAATAAATGAGCTCCTTCAGCTCTTTGTTGGGGGGGACGGATTTTGGAGAAGAAATAAACACTCTACAAAAATAGAAATATTTACATTCCAAACAGTTTTTTCGGTTCTTGCTGTTAGCCGAAGTTCATTGGAGGGAACTGCGAGATTGGAGCAGCAGATTTGAAGACTGACGCAGGAAAAGGCCATTCTTAGGCCTAGAAATTCAGGTTGGTACTAGTATCAATTTCCATTTTCCATTTTTTATCAAGTCCATACAATCATTATGATGTTATAATCGTCCATCTATTTGCGTATTTATATTCAAGCATTTTAATTTACAAGCTATTCATAATCAAGCACTTTATTTACCAAGATCTGCTCATATCAGTTTCATTAAGCTCTCCTATTGTATTTTCTTTTGCTTATTATTAGCTATGCCAATCTATAAACCGATTTAGATAACTGTCCTTAGAGTTGGATCTTTTTGTTTTAAATTTCTGTAAATAGCTTACTTTCGAAATAAGCAAAAATGACTTTTCAAAAGTCCTAGGATCAACCTAGATCCGTACCTAACAAAAATCACCCACATAACATAAATTTCAGATTTCAACATCCACGACAAAATCATAAGCAGTAGCAATGATTTATAGTACCTAGTCTAGCAAAATCACGGCCAGTGATTTACAATCACCAAAATTAGCAATTTTAGGGCCATTTACTTACTTAATCCATTACAAAAACTTTCTTTTTCTTTTTAGCAAATTCCAACATAACAAGATTTGCATCTAAATCCATCCCAGAAACACCAAAATTATCGAACTCATACATAACCATTTTTATTGAAAACCCAGATCTGGAATCAGATTCAACCCGTTTTTTTTGTTCAAGTTCCAAAATCACACTAGACTGAGTTTAGAAACCTTACCCAAACTTGTCAAATCCAAAACCTGCGCAGAGACCATAATCGATTAAAGCCAATACCATTCAAGAAAATAAAAAAATTTAATCGAAGCAATCCTCACCAGTTGCCGCCGTTGTCAACTCATCGCCGGCGGAATTGTGCCGACAGGGATCTAAGCCGCCAAAGATTCCCTTCTCCTCCACCCAACCAAAAAAACATATTAGGACCCAGAAATCCGGAAAACAACCGATAAACCAAAAACAAAACCAGATCCGAGCCTACCCTTAAATCGTACCTCGGTCCGGCGATCTCTTCACTGCTTCTTTTCCCTCGTCCAAAACCAAGCCTCAAAATCACAATAAAACGAAAGAAAGTTAAACGAATCCTAATAAAATCACCTAAAACGAATCAAAAAGTACATGCATGTCTCACTCTTACCTGGATCGAAACCCTCTCGGTTGATTTAGTACGAAACGAGCGGACTCCTTAGCTAGCCGAGAGCACAGAGTAGAGAATCGAGAGAGGGAGAGGGCGATTGTTCTTCGTTTTTTTTGGGGTTTTCGGTTTACTCTGGAGGAAACGAGAAGAGAGAGAGGCGAGGTGATAAGAGAGGCGGCTAGGGTTTCGTTTTTTTATTCTGGAAGAGAAGAAGAGAGGTGAGAGTTCAGAGTAGAGACGAGAGACAAGAGAGAGAGGCGAGAATGAGAGGGCGGCCGCCTCTCTTTAGATTGATTAGGGTTTCATTAGAGATTATTTATACCCCATCGTTTAAAAAGACTAAAATGCCCCCTAGGGTTTTCAGCTTATTTCGCAGCCATGCCACCGCGTTTTCGAGCAATTACAAAAATACCCTTCCCCCTTTTGCTGCACTAAAACGAGAAATAGAAAAACTCTCCGCTAGCGTGGTTCGAACCCTCGTCCTCGTGAGTGGAGAAGCACCGATTAGTTAGCCAGCCAGTTGGGCTGCTGGCCCATCATTCGTCACTTTAACCATCCCACTTTTATTTCTTTGTTTAAAGTTCTTAATACGAAATGTTGAATGCGGATTAAGTTAGTTTTGCTTCTTTTCTGATACACCGAATTTCTTCCTAATAATTAAAATTCTTAGTTTCGCTTTAGCAACCTCATAATAATCCAAGTGAAGTTTTATTAACAATATTCTCAATACGAGAATCACGATCAGTGGAACGTGGTTACAATTAAATTATCAAAGTCACTAACGAACTACGTGGACTTTGATCCCGTCTAACGGGTACGTAGGCAACCGATAAGGTTCGAGTCCAACTAACCAATTAACTTTATCTTTAAATTTTACGTCAGTGGACGTATAATTAAATTTCAACTAATACGATAAAATCATTAAATGGTCCGGTGGGACCTAAAATCACAATAATTATTAAAATACACCCAACGCATTAAAGCTTATCAACTTAAGTAGTACCGATTTAGGGCGTTGTGGGGGTGTTGCTTAACTTCCCCACACGTAACCGTACTCCCGAACCCAGAACTTTATTTTCGCAGACCATATCTCGGTTCCGACCCTAAGGTTAGAGCTGACCCAAAGAGTGTTCGATCCACTCCTAATAAGATCGATGGCGACTCCCAAAAAAGCCGACGCGACGACATCGGACCCCCCGGAGGGACGGTTGCGACAGTTGGCGACTCCGCTGGGGAACTCGAGAGTCGAGCTACATAATTAAGTTCGATAAGTTTTCTATTTTTCCTATTAAGTGTTGGGTGTTTACTTTCTTATTTGCGCAATTATATTTTCGCAATTAAATTCTCTATTCATGCATAAAAGCTCTATACCCGAGCTATCCTTTTAGAAAATTGAAAGGAGTACCGTGACATCCACAGTAGTGGTAGTCACGCAAAACTTTCTAACCAAGTTGAACTCGGATCCGAGGTTGATCTCGAGGTATCCAGCCAGTTCGAAAGGGCTATGGTAGGATACAACTTGGGAACCAAATCCTTAGGAATTCCCCCTGCCAGCATATAGTAAGCATAGAAACCTCCCTAAGCCGTCCAAAACAATCCCCAAAGCCATCCTAAAACCATGTCGTTACGCCGCTCGAAATCCCTAGGCCTACCTAAATAGGGTAATGATGCAATGATATATGTTTGCTTATTTAAATGGATGTTTGTTTGTAATGTTATGATATGCGTTTTATCTTTCACTCGTTAAACTGTGTGATTGTATGAATGAAAAAGTTTTCAGAATTCATAAGCATCATTCTCTCATAAGATTTCCATTCACCCATTCACAATTTTATCATTAGAAGATTAAAAATGCATGCATGAGATGAAAAATGAATTTGCCTTCATATTGCATTTTTGCACAAGCATCATGCATAAATATAAAGAACAAAATTAATTTAACAATGTTGAGACAAAATCAGGTTTCCTTAAAATTGCTCGTCCACAAGGAAAAAGTCAAGACTTCAAGTACTTAACTAGATCCAAGTTCGAGTTCGTCATGGAAGCATTCCAGAAGAAGTTAAGCGACATCGAAGGAAAGATAACCGGATTCGATGAAAAGCTAGCCGGGTTCGATGAAATGAAGGATCAACTGAACATGATAGTAAAGATCTTATCATCTAAAGGGAAAGAGGTAGTACCTGACAATGAAGAAATACACTCTGATGAAGAAGATCGTGATAGGCACCTGAAGGGTGAAACTTCTAGTGCCAAGATCCCCGTCATACCCTCAAAAGACGTAAATGATAAGAAGAACGTGGGATCTCCAAAACATGATCGAGAGGAAGACAAATTGGAAGGAGCCATGGACGACGCTCTATTAAAAGAAAAATGGGAATACCTGGACGAAAGGGTGAGAGCCATTGAGGGGGTAGAATCCTATGGTTCTACAGATGCCACACAGTTGTGCCTAGTTCCAGACGTGATAATTCCCAATAAATTTAAAATTCCGGAGTTTGAAAAGTATGACGGTACCACGTGCCCCAGAAACCATCTAATCATGTATTGCAACAAAATGGCTAACCACATTAGAGATGACAAGCTCATGATACATTGCTTCCAGAATAGCCTAAGTGGATCGGCGCTAAGATGGTATATGCAACTCGAAAGATCGAAGGTGAAAAGGTGGCAAGATTTAGCTGATGCGTTCATAAGACACTACAAGCACAACCAAGATCTAGCTCCTGACCGAGAAGATTTACGTAATATGGAAAAGCAAGAAAATGAATCTTTTCGTGAATATGCACAGAGATGGCGAGGAAAGGCCGCAGATGTTCAACCCCCGTTGTCAGAAAAAGAAATGGTTTCGACCTTCTTCGAAACACTAAAACCTCCATATTACAACAACATGGTAGGAATCACTACAACAAACTTTGTTGATTTGTTAGTAATTGGAGAACGAATAGAGAAGGGGATTAAGCTAGGAAAAATGGAAATTCCAGAAGCCTCTAATAAACCGCACCAAGCCAGAAGGGGAGAAGCAGAAATCCATTATACTCAAACAGAATCATCAAGAGGGAGAAGGTGGGATCATCAACCTTAGGCCAATCAAGCGCGTCCCCATGTTGCAAACCTTGCCATAATTAATCAACGTCCAGTTTTTCAAACTCAACGAACAATCCAAAGCCCGACACAAATTGCACCACCAAATAACCAAGACCAGAACAATCCCGGAAAATACAAAAAACCTCTCCAAATCGACCCTATCCCCATTACATACACCGAACTTCTCCCCCAACTTATTCAGAGTCACCTAATTTCCCCAATACCATGTGAGCCAATAAAACCTCCTTATCCAAATTGGTACAGGTCAGATCAACACTGTGCTTACCACTCAGGAGTCGCGGGACACTCAACTGAAGATTGTCGAATGTTCAAGATCAAAGTCCAACAAATGATGAAAGCTGGTTGGTTAAAGTTTGAAGAAGATTCTAAATCCCCAGATGTCAGCAACAACCCACTGCCAACTCATGAGAATTAGTAGGCATGTTACAAGGCAGAGCTCGATTTAAGGATGATGTTGATCCTATCTAGTAAATAAAATATCGAGATAATTTGCCATAACAAAATATGTATCACTTTTGCTTTCGCCGTCATGAATAAAAGGTCTTTCACGTTACAACTTCTTCTGAGCACTGTGTGAACATTATCAATCTTAATTTTAGAGTTTGCATCAATGGATTTTCATAATCAAAATTGCGAATACCACTTCTGATGTCTTAAAAAAAAAAAAGATTTATTATCTACAAAAATTAAACCCATCAAAATCCAGTTTCATGCTCAAGTTAAGCCATGAGATTGTCATGCTAAGAAAATGTGAACACCCTACTGGTGTTGAGTATTTAAAACACCCCATTAGTGTCGAGAGCTTAAGCGCCCCACTGGTGTTAAGAGTATGAACACTCTACCTGAGTTCATATAAAATTGCGAGTCAAAATTAATAGTCAAAAGGTGTAACAAGTACACGACATCACGCTACTTGTAGAATCTTGTTGCCATTGTAGTCGACTTTTGATAACAGGTCGAGACTCAAGTTCACATGAAGTCAAATAGCCAAATCCCAATGCACCGATACGCAGGGGACTCAACATTATGGATAGGAAACTTCTCACTAAATGTCATGACTAGAGGATTGAAGGAGTTCAAGGATGCAATCTATGCAAACCAAGGAATCACACGCATGAAACACTTATCTACACAAACAAGCACATAACGCCAGCAATCTCGATTCTTCGAGAAGGGAATAGCCAAATCAGCCTAGCTAACAAAAGGAACCCACATTCTCAATCACCAAGACAGACTCTCAGCCTCCCTATACTTGTGTCAAGAAAAACAAATTTCCGAATTAAGAAAAATGAGAAGCATAGATGGGGGCACACCATAGCCGAGTAAGTCCCACACAAAAAAAAGAAAAAAAAGAAAAGCAAAAAAAAAAAGGCAAGAAAAAGGAAAATATGTTGTGGGACTTACAAATTAGGTGCCCCTAGTTAGCATTTGAAGTATCAACCGTATGCACCAAGACAAGGTCTTACAAAGAAAATATGATGACCTCAAGCCAAGGTCTTCCATGATAAGAAAGCCTTTTGGCCAAAATCACTTCATATTGAAGACCAAAACGTCCACGGTGAACCATATGAAGATCTTCTAAATCAATCACACCAAGGTCTTCCATGTTTCTGCACAAGGAACGCAGTTGGCCACCAACATAAAATGAGACATCTCAAGGTGACCAGAATCTTAATGGTAGCTGAAGTGTCGTACACTCAAATCACCTATAGGATTGAGTGATGAGAGAAATACAAAGCGGGAATGAAAGCGAGCAAAATCAAAAGCAAGAGTGAGAGCGAGGGCTTACTGATATTCTCATGGCTTGGCTTACACTTCTCTTATTAAAAAGAAAACCAAATTTGGCAACATGACAACTACCACACAAAAACGGTTTTCTCCAGTTTGCACACACTTCTCGAAACCAAAGTCTTGACATGGCTTTCAATTTTAATTCTCTAATAAGCGTTTTTCAAACATTTTTGCTTTCGTCTTAAGTCAAGATTGATATAGTCACTCTTTGTTCCGGAGAATAGAAAGTGAGTAACGGATCTTCAGGAGCAAAAATGGCGCAGCATGGAAGAAGGGGAAGTCTGAATACCCAAGAATCGAAAATCAACTTTTCACTCATGAGTTGATGGAGAAATCTCAAGGAGTTAGAGAGCATCCAATCTCATTAAACCAACCAGCAAACCTACTATCCTTCAACTTCATGGCCCGAAGGAGGAGGAACCAACATACCGCACATACCAAGAGATATACAACTCTAAAACATGTGGGCCCAATCCTAACCGACGGGAAGGCTGAAGCAGTACACATGCTCAGCTCACCTCACAAAGTATACCTTCGCCCAACTACTACCAAGAAGATATATCTCAAGACAACAAGTTCAAAGTCGCTTCAGCATAAGCATGAACTATGGATCGAGTTGATCAAAAGGGATTGACAATCTTGGAAGATGAGCAATTTAAAGGAGTCCCAGACCAAAAAAAATATAATAAATAAAAATTGCATAGAGATTATCAAAGGCATCACATCCTTTTTTGCACTCAAACATTCACGAATTCATCAGCATAATTCGTCACGCAATCAATTTCGAAAATCATTTTGATACTCCTTAAAGAACATCATCATATGTTAAAATGAATCATGCATTAATTGCCAACAATCTCCAAAACAACTCATACATCTAGTTGGATTTTCAATGTCTGTTAAAAGATATCATTGCAAGTTAAAACACTGCATTCGCGTGAATTCTTCAAGTCTCACGTTTAGTCCTCAAGTGCATTTATGACGAGTCATAACATCGGTTTAGGTTTGTCCTAAACGAATACAATGAACACACGATATCGGTGTTGGCGAAGAATCACAAGTCTCCCAATAAAGTTGTCCCGTCGACTATCACGGACATTACGAAAACTACCTAGTCAATTTGTTTCGTCGACTATCACGAGCAAATTAGACCATCTTTTTAACTTGTTCCGTCGACTATCACGGGCAAGTAAAATTACCTACTAAATTTGTTTCGTCGACTACCACGAGCAAATTAGACCGTCTTTTTAAATTTGTTCCGTCGATTATCACGGACAATTCAAAAATTACCTAGTCAATTTGTTTCGTCGACTATCACGAACAAATTGGATCCCCTGCTAAGTTTGTTCCGTCGACTATCACGGGCAAACTAGAGATCCTAGACAATTTGTTTCGTCGACTATCACGAGCAAATTAGACCATCTTCTTAACTTGTTCCGTCGACTATCGCGGGCAACTAAAACTTACCTAGTCAATTTTCTTCGTCGACTATCACGGGCAAACTAGAGATCCTAGACAATTTGTTTCGTCGACTATCACGAGCAAATTAGACCATCTTCTTAACTTGTTCCGTCGACTATCGCGGGCAACTAAAACTTACCTAGCCAATTTGCTTCGTCGACTATCACGAGCAAATTAAAAACCCCCTACTAAATTTGTTTCGTCGATTACCACGGGCAATTTAGAAAACCTAGTCAATTTGCTTCGTCGACTATCACAAGCAAATTAAAACCCTCATGCTAAACTTGTTTCGTCGATTATCACGGGCAATTTAGAAAACCTAGTCAATTTGCTTCGTCGACTATCACAAGCAAATTAAAACCCTCATGCTAAACTTGTTTCGTCGATTATCACGGACAATTTAGAGAACCTAGTCAATTTTCTTCGTCGACTATCATGAGCGAATTACACCCTCTGCTAAACATGTTCCGTCGACTATCACGGGCAGTTTAGATAACCAAGTAAATTTGCTTCGTCGGCTTTCACGAGCAAATGAGATCCCTCCTTCTAAAACTTGTTCCGTCGACTATCACGGACAATGTAGAAAACCTAACCCCACTCCGCATACCGCGAGGGGGCAACCAAATTCCCGAGTCTGCTTATCGCAACCGAAAAAAAAAAATCTTTCACCCACTCTGCATACCGCAAGGGGGCAACCAAATTCCAAAGTCTTCCCTACAGCTACGGGAACAAGTCAACAATGCACGGGAGCTGAGGAGCGCCCCAACCATTCAAAACCTCACAGGAGCTGGCGAGCCCCTCTACCAATCAACAACGCACGGGAGCTGAAGAGCGCCCCAACCATTCAATACCTCACAGGAGCTGGCGAGCCCCTCTATCAATCAACAACGCACGGGAGCTGAGGAGCGCCCCTACCATTCAATACCTCATAGGAGCTGGCGAGCCCCTCTATCAATCAACAACGCACGGGAGCTGAGGAGCGCCCCTACCATTCAATACCTCATAGGAGCTGGCGAGCCCCTCTACCAATCAACAACGCACGGGAGCGTCATGATCTGCATTCATGATGCAAATAACTACAAGCCGTACTAACAACACTCAAGTATCACTCTCTGGATATATGACAAAAAACGACATCAGAGTTTACAAAATGTGGTGTCTTTATAAGAACTTTGTATAACTCTTTATACAAAGAGATATACAAAGGGGGGCAACTGTAGACACCACATTTTGTCCGGAATAATTATTTTACTGGAAATAATTTTTGTAACATCGAACTACGATTATATTTAAAAAGGAAGCTGAAGATAGTTTGGTTGAGACTAGCAGTTGCAAGTCAATATGAACCAACAACTACCAAATTTGCTCCTAGTCGATTCTAAGACATAATTAGTTAATTAGTTAAGATAGGATTGGTTTAAGTTAAGATTAGCAGTGGCAAATCTTAAATTATAAATTCTCAGTTGGATGAAAGAGTGACTATAGTGCAAATTTTGTCTCTCGAGTTTGGAATTGGATTTTGAAATGGGACAAATTGAATAGTGGAATGAGCTCTATTACCAAATATTCAAAGTTGATACATTGTACAACTTGGGTAATGACCTCCAAATCCAGCGAGAATTAAAACTAATTACAAATTGAAGTGATTGCCTTCCTACTTTGAGCCCAAACAAATTGTGTACCTGCAAAAATAAAAGAGAGGATAACAGATTAGTTTTAGCCCAAATTAAAATCTTGAATCCAGTTCAGGCCCAAGGGTAAAAGTCCAATTCCAGATCTGATGCCCAACCAGAGCCCAGAGCCAGACCCAAATTCAAACTCGGCCCAAACCCAACAGGCCCAACTCAAGCCAACCAGTTCGGTCCGAAAACCAACAATAAACCGACCTTGACCGATTCGGTCTGACCATATCTTATCCAACCGACCAGGCACACTCTTCAAAGTCAGATTAAAAAAATTGACGAATAAGAGAGCGACACGTGGCAGGTTCATTCGCAATAAATGAGCTCCTTCAGCTCTTTGTTGGGGGGGACGGATTTTGGAGAAGAAATAAACACTCTACAAAAATAGAAATATTTACATTCCAAACAGTTTTTTCGGTTCTTGCTGTTAGCCGAAGTTCATTGGAGGGAACTGCGAGATTGGAGCAGCAGATTTGAAGACTGACGCAGGAAAAGGCCATTCTTAGGCCTAGAAATTCAGGTTGGTACTAGTATCAATTTCCATTTTCCATTTTTTATCAAGTCCATACAATCATTATGATGTTATAATCGTCCATCTATTTGCGTATTTATATTCAAGCATTTTAATTTACAAGCTATTCATAATCAAGCACTTTATTTACCAAGATCTGCTCATATCAGTTTCATTAAGCTCTCCTATTGTATTTTCTTTTGCTTATTATTAGCTATGCCAATCTATAAACCGATTTAGATAACTGTCCTTAGAGTTGGATCTTTTTGTTTTAAATTTCTGTAAATAGCTTACTTTCGAAATAAGCAAAAATGACTTTTCAAAAGTCCTAGGATCAACCTAGATCCGTACCTAACAAAAATCACCCACATAACATAAATTTCAGATTTCAACATCCACGACAAAATCATAAGCAGTAGCAATGATTTATAGTACCTAGTCTAGCAAAATCACGGCCAGTGATTTACAATCACCAAAATTAGCAATTTTAGGGCCATTTACTTACTTAATCCATTACAAAAACTTTCTTTTTCTTTTTAGCAAATTCCAACATAACAAGATTTGCATCTAAATCCATCCCAGAAACACCAAAATTATCGAACTCATACATAACCATTTTTATTGAAAACCCAGATCTGGAATCAGATTCAACCCGTTTTTTTTTGTTCAAGTTCCAAAATCACACTAGACTGAGTTTAGAAACCTTACCCAAACTTGTCAAATCCAAAACCTGCGCAGAGACCATAATCGATTAAAGCCAATACCATTCAAGAAAATAAAAAAATTTAATCGAAGCAATCCTCACCAGTTGCCGCCGTTGTCAACTCATCGCCAACGGAATTTTGCCGACAGGGATCTTAGCCGCCAAAGATTCCAAAAAAACATATTAGGACCCATAAATCCGGAAAACAACCGATAAACCAAAAACAAAACCAGATCCGAGCCTACCCTTAAATCGTACCTCGGTCCGGCGATCTCTTCACTGCTTCTTTTCCCTCGTCCAAAACCAAGCCTCAAAATCACAATAAAACGAAAGAAAGTTAAACGAATCCTAATAAAATCACCTAAAACGAATCAAAAAGTACATGCATGTCTCACTCTTACCTGGATCGAAACCCTCTCGGTTGATTTAGTACGAAACGAGCGGACTCCTTAGCTAGCCGAGAGCACAGAGTAGAGAATCGAGAGAGGGAGAGGGCGATTGTTCTTCGTTTTTTTGGGGTTTTCGGTTTACTCTGGAGGAAACGAGAAGAGAGAGAGGCGAGGTGATAAGAGAGGCGGCTAGGGTTTCGTTTTTTTATTCTGGAAGAGAAGAAGAGAGGTGAGAGTTCAGAGTAGAGACGAGAGACAAGAGAGAGAGGCGAGAATGAGAGGGCGGCCGCCTCTCTTTAGATTGATTAGGGTTTCATTAGAGATTATTTATACCCCATCGTTTAAAAAGACTAAAATGCCCCTAGGGTTTTCAGCTTATTTCGCAGCCATGCCACCGCGTTTTCGAGCAATTACAAAAATACCCTTCCCCCTTTTGCTGCACTAAAACGAGAAATAGAAAAACTCTCCGCTAGCGTGGTTCGAACCCTCGTCCTCGTGAGTGGAGAAGCACCGATTAGTTAGCCAGCCAGTTGGGCTGCTGGCCCATCATTCGTCACTTTAACCATCCCACTTTTATTTCTTTGTTTAAAGTTCTTAATACGAAATGTTGAATGCGGATTAAGTTAGTTTTGCTTCTTTTCTGATACACCGAATTTCTTCCTAATAATTAAAATTCTTAGTTTCGCTTTAGCAACCTCATAATAATCCAAGTGAAGTTTTATTAACAATATTCTCAATACGAGAATCACGATCAGTGGAACGTGGTTACAATTAAATTATCAAAGTCACTAACGAACTACGTGGACTTTGATCCCGTCTAACGGGTACGTAGGCAACCGATAAGGTTCGAGTCCAACTAACCAATTAACTTTATCTTTAAATTTTACGTCAGTGGACGTATAATTAAATTTCAACTAATACGATAAAATCATTAAATGGTCCGGTGGGACCTAAAATCACAATAATTATTAAAATACACCCAACGCATTAAAGCTTATCAACTTAAGTAGTACCGATTTAGGGCGTTGTGGGGGTGTTGCTTAACTTCCCCACACGTAACCGTACTCCCGAACCCAGAACTTTATTTTCGCAGACCATATCTCGGTTCCGACCCTAAGGTTAGAGCTGACCCAAAGAGTGTTCGATCCACTCCTAATAAGATCGATGGCGACTCCCAAAAAAGCCGACGCGACGACATCGGACCCCCCGGAGGGACGGTTGCGACACCATCGACTAAAGAAATCGATCCAATACTATCACTCTATGGTTCTCTATTGACCGAATCAGGTATTCGCTCTCATAGGATCAAAGCAGAATCAATCATCTCGACTAAAGCAGAATTGAATGATGAAAACATGCATAGATTGAATATGAACTCAAGATTATCAAGTAAGAGTACTCATACAATCATTCAATCAAACAAACATGGCTAGGGTTCCTCAAAACCTAAGTGAAGGGAAGTTACTCCATAGAGAAGAGAGAGAATGCAGAAATCTGATCTAGATTTTTAATCTCCATCTCCAAGCTTGTTTCCCGAGCTCCAATGGTGAAGAAATCATCCAATTGATCTCTTATTGACTTGAAACTTGCGCCTATGCTTCACTTTACATGCTAGGACCTGAAATCTGGCAAAAGAACACAACCTAACATAAAATAGGCCAAGAAAGCACAAACTCAAGGCAAAATGATCAAGAAAAGAGGGTGCAAACATGTGCAAATACGACGTTATCACCAAGAAAATAATGAACCTGACCTAGATGCTCAAGAGAAAACTGATCGGATAGCCAAGCTTGAAACGAGCAAAGGAAGGCTGCATTATTACCGGTAAGTAATAAGTCGTCCACATACATGAGAAAGTAAGCCAGCACACCATCTAGGGAGTAGACAAAGATGGATGCATCAGAGAAGGTCTTTATGAAGCCACTAGTGATCAGAAAGACACTCAGAGTATCGTACCAGGCACGCGGTGCCTTACGAAGACCATATATAGCTTTGCGAAACCGACACACGTGATTAGGGAAACTGGGATCACGAAGTGTTGTGGTTGAGACATGTAGACTTCCTCCGGAAGGGGCCTTGTAGGAAAGCATTGTTAACATCATACTAGAAAATAGGCCAATGAGACGACAGGGCGAGAGTGAACACTGTGCGAATTGTGACTGGTTTAAGCACTGGACTGAACGTCTCATGGAAATCAATGCCAAGTCGTTGATGAAAGACCTTAGCAACATGACGACATTTTTGTCGTTCAATAGAGCCATCAGAAAGAAACTTCACACGATACACCCATCGATTGCCAATAACATTAAAATGAGGTTGATGAGGAACAAGATCCCACATGTGATTCGCAAGCAGGGCATCATGTTTAGCATGAAGAGCCTTGTTCCATACCTCGTATTTTATAGCTTCGCAAACAGAAAGTGGGCTCGAGCGGAGGAGAGTTCTGTGAAAAAGTAGCATTAATGTACTTTAGGTTAGGCTTGACAATATTCTTTTTGGCCCGAGTGTGCATGGGATGCCACAACGGAGGAGGTGGTGGCGGTAGCGGAGTGGCAGCCGGTGAAGAATTCGTGGACGAGTCATCCGAAGAATCCACGGACTTGCTCGAGGGAGAGGAATTAGGAGGCGGCAATACTGGGGAAGAAGCAGCAGGTGATACCAGCGTAGGGTGTCTGCATGGAATAAAAGTGACAATAGGAGTGGTGGATGTAAGCCAAGAAATAGTGGATGACTCGATCGAGGGAGGAGGAATAGAAGAGATAAGACCAGGAAACTTGGATTCAACAAAAAGGACATGAAGAGAGATGATGAAAACACGACGAGACTGGGGATCAAGATAGTGATAGGCACTTTGTTGGTGAGAGTAACCAAGAAAAATACAAGGACGAGAGTGGGGTGGAGTTTGTGAGAGTTATAGGGTCGTAACCAAGGGTAGCACAAATAACCAAAGACACGAAGCTTAGAGTAATTAGGGACTTCGTTGAACAGAACAGCGAATGGAATTTTATCACGTAAGGACGAAGAAGGTAAACGATTAATAAGATATACCAAAGTGGAGAAGGAATAAGACCAATAGGACAAGAGAGGAGAGGCTTGATGTAAAATGGTAAGACCTGTCTCGACAATACGATGATGTTTTCTCTCAGAGAGACCATTGTGTTGGGGAGTATGTGGAGGAGTAAAAAGATGAGTGATGCCAGCGAGAGCAAGGTCAAATTTGAGCTTGATAAACTCACCACCACCATCGGTGTAAGGGCGGTAGATTGAGGTTTGGAAAAAGTTCCCAACCAATCGTTTGAAGGTAAGAAAGACAGACAACACATCGAATTTGAACTTGATGGGATAAATCCACATATAACGAGTGAAATGATCGACAATAACTAAATAATATTAGTAGCCATCAACAAAAGTCACCGGAGTAGGGCCCCAAACTTCAGAAAACAGAGATCAAAGGGATGTGAACTAGACAAACTTGAATCTCCAAAAGGGAGTTTATGAATTTTATTTGAAAGACATGAATTACAATGAGTAAGAGACTGACGATTATGAGGAAGAGAATAAGCATTAAGGAGACGAGCAAGGGACTTAGACGATGGATGACCGAGACGATGATGCTAGAAGTCAGGAGAGTGATTGGTGGTTACTAAGGCAAGATGAATAACAGCAGACTTGGCGAGTATCTGATAGGTTTCACCTCTGTTCTTTCCGGTCAGCAGGCATGCCCCCGTGCTTAAGGCCTTCACAACAAACGAATCAGCAAAAAATTGAGCAGAGACCGGATTAGTACGACAAAGTTTAGCAACTGACAGTAATTGATGCTTAATGGTAGGAACAAATAGAACATCATGTAAGGAGAGAGATTTATGGGATGTCAAGAGAGAAGAGGAGCCAATGTGAGTAATCCACAAACCTGAACCATCACCCAAATAAATCTCATATGGACCATTATAGTCGGAATAAAGCAAGAGATTGCCAAGATTGTTGGTCACGTGATGAGTCACTACAGAGTCCATGAGCCAGGCACTAGAAGAAGAGGAATTGGATGCAGGTGGATGCGAGGTATAATTAGGCTGGGTCGGGCGTTTGTGAGGAAAAAGCTAGAAGCAGTTCTTGGCAGTATGGCTAGGCTTCTCACAAAATTGACAGTAGATGCGTGGACGACCACCACGAAAAGAATCATCATCGGACGAAGAAGAATGCCAGGAGGAAGAAGCGGGAAGAGGAAGCAGACCTGGGGAAGACGAGTCGCGACCAAAAACCGTGGCCAGGAGCACCGCCCCAGCGACCACGGCCATGTTGAGTAGCATAGGCTGTAGCAGGCTGCTCAACAGAGGTCCAAAGCAGACAATATCTTCGTCGAAAAAAGGTTCAGGATGTTACAAGTGGTATTAGAGCCTGGTTAGTTTGAAGAGCCTAGTTCGTCTCTCAGTACGGCATAGGTCGAGTATGGGCCGACCCTATGCCCGAATGGGAGGCGGTCCTGGGTGTGCATATTAGGCGGTCCGGACGCAGATACACATGTGTTGCCCCGTTGTTGGGGACCTCGACAGGCTGAAGATGCAGCGGTCGAGAATGTCGTTCAACCGAGGAACTAATGCTAGCGAGAGAGTAGGGTGAAGGTCGATTGAGGTACAAACGCTGAGAGTAGCGTTGGGTGAAGGTCAACTGAGGTACTAGCGGAGCAGAAGTGAAGAGTGAAGGTTGATGTCGAGGGGCGAAGAGGTATGTGTGCGGGGCACAGCAGGCTAGCGCGAGGGCGTGACTGGAGCCTGTCCATCAGAGGATGGTATCGTATGCGGACGTCCACAATCGGTTCGAGTGTTGCAATACATGGTGCGGAGAGAAGCATTCTTCACCAGCACGACTACGTTACAGTAAGCGTTGAGCGTGTTTTTGGTTTTGAGCTTTTGATTTTTCTTGTCTATTGCTAATCTGACTTTGTTCTATCTCTTGAAGGTTTGGGGTTTTAATCATGGGTGAGGGAAGGAAGCAGAGGAATGGATGTAAGAAGACGGTCGCTGCCGGCATATCTAAGTTTCGCCGGCGACGACGAAAATGAGGTGAGCTTTTGATTTTGGTAAACCGTTCTAAGTTTTAGGCGTTTTCTAGATTTTTTTAGATTTTGACTATGATTCGTTGTTTTTGTTAGATTTCATTCTCTGAAGGGATTCTTGTATTATCTTTCCCAAACTCGAATTAGACTGGT